CCCCCCCCCCCGTAGTGTAGACCTAGCCTAAGATCAGAATACAGTCCAAGGTGCACAATTTTGCAACAGTTTCAACGTTACTTTTGTGAGACGGCCTTTGCCGTAGATCCTGAACTTCGATTCCACTCCTGCTGGGGCTGAATACAGGAGAAACAAATGATCCCAGGAGTCAAAGTGAAGGAAGTGAGAGCCACTTACTATAAGAGTGCACGCCCCTTGATCGCCGCCTGGAAACCCCCTTGATCAGACACATTGCTGGACAAGATATAGAGCAATCGCTAAAAGAAGCTGAAAAGTACTGCCGCTAAGTGAATGAAGGATAAGGCATGAAAGAGACAGACTAAACCTTGCACTTCTAACCTGCTCAGCGTGAGCGTGCATCATAGAGAGAGTGAAAGTTCTGAGTTGCCATGGTGGGCTGGTTCAAAACTATTGCACTTGTAATCATTTCCCCTACCATGCAAACAGTCTTGTTGCATTATAAGTCCTCTCATCTGTCACCCTTTTCCCACATCTCTCTCTTCCTCTTCTCCTCCTACATTGTGCTAAGTTACATCACTTTCTTTTTCTTTTTTCTATATACCATCGTTTCTTTGGTTACCTCTGTTCTTTGTTTCTTTCCCCTCCTGTTCTCTTACTGCTACAGGACTTCCATTAATACACCTCTACCCCGATATAATGCAACCTGATATAACACGAATTTGGATATAATGCAATAAAGCAGCGCTCGCGGGGTGGGGGGTGCGCGCTCCGGCGGATTAAAGCAAGTTCAATATAACACGGTTTAACCTATAATGCAGTAAGATTTTTTGGCTCCCTAGGACAGCGTTATATCGGGGTAGAGGTGTATGTTTTTGGCACTACATTGCTCAGCCCTCATGGGCTAAAATGGAACTTCAGAAAGCACAATGCAGTGACTCAAGCCTAGAGAGAACAAGGGTTTCTAGTGGTATTTCCAAGTTTTTTTTAATAGGAGAGGTGGCTGGGGCTGCTTTACACCAGTTTAATGCAGGCTGTTGTTAAGCACTAATAATAATGAGCTAGAAATACATGGGAAAACTCCAAAAATTGTAAGAATTGTGATTACAATTTTAGTTTTCTATGGCTTTTTTGCAGCTTCCACCTCTCCACATTAAATCAGAACATCAAGACATTTACAAAAGCTATACGCTCTGCCTTGCTGTGCCAACAAGAAGGGCATGTGTAAATAAGGGTGCTGAGGAATGGCTGCTTCCTGTGAATTAGTGGCCACCTCTCCATATGAACCATGTATATTTGGGATTCTTTGGAAACTGGTGAGGTTGTCCCCTAAAAAGGGGACTTGAAGTTCACAGAGAGGTGTAGACAGTGTTTCCTATAAATCTACAGAGTAAAAGAACACTGAAGGACTGACTTTCCCTGAGGTCCATGCTCCACTGAGCAGATGATACAGTGGAGATGAGGTCCAGGGGCTTTCATTGTTTTTTAGGACATGGGTCTCCTATTTGTTCTGAAAAGTCTTAGAAGGTAGTGGGAAGTCACTCCTATGAAGGTTCATGGCTTCTGGGCTTCTTCCACACTGTGGCATCATCCCTTGGAGGTTGACCTGGTATTGGACTTAAACACTAAGGGGAATGGTTGCCAGTTTTCATGGCAGAAAGAAATCCAAATGGGCAACTGGACCAGTTATCACAGATCTTGGCTCATCCACACAGTACAGTACCATCAGCACAGTATCTGCAGTGCCATGCAGCCATTGGTTTCTTCCCTCTACTGGACAGTGGGGGGCAGCATTTGGTCTTAGACTCATAGACTTGAAGGCCAGAAGGGACCATTGTGATCTTTTAGTCTGACCTCCTGCACATCGCAGGCTATGGGACCTCACCCACCCACTCCTTTAATAGACCCATAACCTCTGGCTGAGTTACGGAAGTCCACAAATCATGATTTAAAGATTTCAAGTTACAGAGAATCCACCATTTACTCTAGTTCAAACCAGCAAGTAACCCGTGCCCTATGTTGCAGAGGAAGGCAAAAAAAAAGTAGTAGTACAATTGGCCTTCTTGTCATTTGTGTATCCCTGATGAGGGAGGGTCTTGTTAAAAATATGTATACTATTTATAATAACTAATGAATTATAATACTTAGCAATTATAATATTTAATCTCTTGATCTGAAAGTGCTTTCTAAAGCTAGGAATCATTATCTCTATTTTGGTAGAGATGAGGAGCTAAGAGATGAAGTGATTCACCCAATGCCATATGGCAGGGGGTCAATGGCAGAGATGGAAACAAAACCCAGACCTCCTGACTCCTAGTCTGTGGTCCTATCCACCAGATACTGATGTCTCCCTTGGGGAGGGTTTTTTCATTTGATTCCTCACAGATCGTGCTTCTCCCTCAGTGAAAAACTGAGCCATTTCTTTGATGGAAAAATGTTCAATGCATATGTTGGAAAAAACTGCTCTTCATAACATGCAAAATTTAGGAGAAGAGCATACTCATTCAGACTAGGTGATAATGATACAGTACAGCACTACCAGCTCTGTTCTTTATTGTCTATGTGTCATTCACTCAATATGAAAGTCCTTAATATCATCATGACATTCACATTATATCGTTTGGAATTATCCAATTCCAAAGGCAGTCAGTATATTGCATCCTTTGCCAGTGATAATACAGAATTTTCCTGTTGTAATATTTACAATGTTATTCACTCCAAGGACTGGAAGTGATTGATATAACATTAAAAAGTTAAATTTTGTGATGCAATATTATCCTTGCCGTGGGACTGATTGCCTGCCAGCCCTGCTTAGCTGTAAGAAGGCGGCAAAGGTGCCATTGGGTAAAACAAAGTAGAAATGTTAAAAACCCAATCAAGCAAGTAAACACAAACAAAACAAAACCAAGATGTCTGTTTAGTGATGATTATTCTTGTCTTTACACTCTATATATTTTAAACAGTTGCTCTCGTATCTGTAATTGGCTGCTCTAGGATAGCTGCTTCATTGGCATCCATTAAAATAATGCATCTATCAAACTGTAAAACCAAATCCCAAAGCAACTGCCCTTCACCTGCAGTCTGCCGATCTGTAATCTGCCTGGCTCTAGCTTCCCTCCTACCGCCACAAGGAACACAATACAAGGGGAAGCTTAGCATGCAGCCTGGTATTAGAATCTATAGCAACAGTGGCCAAAATGCACCATGGGGGGAATAAAGGCCCAATCCTGTATCATGTTGAGCACCCTCAACTTCCACGGACTTCAGTGGAAGTGGGGCACATATGCCACCTTCACGGAAATTCTACTTCTCTTCCAGGATCAGGCTCCAAATGTAGATGTGCCCACCCCAATCTATAAAGAGGAACAGCTGGCTATGGCACCAGGTAGATACAGGGATATGTAGACCCTGTGGTGCGTCAGCAGTTTGCTCAGCTGTATGAAAGCAAAGGGTGTCATGTATGAGTCCGTAGCCAGCCAAAGAGAAATGGGGAGGCTTTTGAGAGCTGTAGGGAAGCAATAAAAAAAGTGGGGGCAGCAGGGCGGGGCAAGTTTCTGTTTCCCTGTAAAATGTTGACATACCAGGTGCTATTTAATCTATTTTATAAGATTTTAAGGCAATTTGTTCTCTCCTTCCATTTTCACCCATTGCATGCATGCTCATGCTCCCAATTCCCCCTCTCTACCTGTCACATAATTGTGCTGTCTCGCTCTCACTCCTTCCACCCAGCTGTCTCTTTTGCATGCACAAGCTCACTGCCACACATGTTCTCCTCATTCTTTACCTCGCATACTCCTTGGGGAGCAGTTCACCTCCCAGGGCTAGTGCTGCAGGCTCAGGCAGACATCAATGTGTTGGATACACTTGGGTATGCTTTCAAGGCTTTCTTCACAACCATCAGGGCTAGAACATTGTTTTTTAAATGTAAGTTGAGGATTCTGGGGGCAAATTCAGCAGCTCTGGAATCACAGACCATAGGGCAGGGGTTCTCAAACTTTTGTACTGGTGACCCCTTTCACATAGCAAGCCTCTGAGTGCGACCCCTTATCAATTAGAAACACTTTTAAATGTATTTAACACCATTAAAAATGCTGGAGGCAAAGCGGGGTTTGGGGTGGAGGCTGACAGCTCACGACCCCCCATGTAATAGCCTTGTGACCCCCTGAGGGGTCCCGACCCCCAGTTTGAGAACCCCTGCCATAGGGGGTCCTGCGGGCCATATCTGAGATGATGGGGTAGAACAAGGGAGGCAACTTATATCTCCAAAATAGATCTGGATCCTCCTTTTAAAAATGTCCTAATGTCCTAGATCAAAGCATTAGGCTCCAGTTCTGGAAAATACAGAGGGACAAATCCTTCCTGATTGTAGTATTCCCAAACCTTCTTTACAGATGGGTGAATTGAGGTACAGGGTACTGGCTACCATAGTTAGAGATTGCAATAAAAATGACTGAGTTGTTGCATAGCTACTCTAGCTTGTCTTTATACTGAGGGGATAGGAGGAATTTATTCCCCATCCTCCATGTATGTCCACAGCATAAAGCCCATTTACTCAGATTTTCCATGGGGCATGTGTGTGAAAATTTGATCTTACACTACTCAGTCTATCAGACATGGAATGTAGAATCTGCTATAACCTGTAGTCAGACTGGCTCTCTTGTACAAATGGAATGATATGCATCTCTGCAGTAATACAGATGTGGATGTCTCAGAATAAAACACATTGGGAAGTTGAAATGAGTACAAGGTACCAAAAGAAAATTACCAGGAGCTCAGCAAATACAATACGTATCCAGCTAAGAAATAAATATTCAAGAGGTGGAAAAATGATCAATATGGATGACCAGGGAAATATAGGAGGAAATCAAGGCTGGGAGAAAGGCAGGTAAGACATATATAATTTATTTATTTTAAAATGTCTTGCCAGGGAAATTCCACTGAGAGCTAACATCTCATTTCCAAGGTGTCCCCTGGGATAAATCAGAAGGGATAGGACTGAAAGTGAAGGCATAGAATACGAAAGAAAAAGAAGGTAAGAAAATAATCAAGAAAACCAAGATTGAAAATGAAAGGAAAATTACGCGAGATGTGAAGATGAATAATAAATGGCTGTACAAATGTGAAGTATAAGGAGCAAGAGGTTGATGAAAAAGACTGCGGGCCCTTTGGGGGAATATTGAATGGAAACTGGTAACAGAAGATGCCGATATTGCTGTGAAATGGAATGACTTCTTTAAATCAGGCAGATTGGAATGGAGGCTTGTAGGAAGGGAAATATGAAACAGAAATATGATTGTAATGGCTTGTTGGGTGGTGGGGAAGATGAGCTGTGTGGAAAGGGAAACTATTGAAACAGAAGTAACAATGAATGATGGAAGCAGAGATGACTCTAGAACAAACTCCCAGAACATAATCAGAACTGTCAAATGTGGTCTGCTGTCAGGTAGAAATGGGCATGAACCAAAACTCCAGATCTGGTGTCCAGTTCTGAATTTGAACTTTGGCTCCCAACAGAACAGTCAGAACCAAAACCCTTGTAAAGTGGAAGGGTTTGTAATTTTGTATTCAAATGTGAAGTTCAGGGTGTAAAGATTGACTGGTTAGATTTGGCCTAGTGCAGTTCAAATTGATCTGTAAAATCTCTGATCCAGTTCCAAGGAATGTTTGGATCTGTGTATGGTTTGAGGAAAGTGGTTGATTCGAGCCCATCGTTAGTTAAAGTTGAAACTTCAACAAACTACCACATTTTGCAGGATTTTCACCCACATCTGCACCAGTCCAAGTTTATTCACAGCTTTGTGCATGCTCACTAGGGGGGCGTGTGAATCAGCAAATCTTTCTGCAAACTTGGCCTTAGGTTCAGGATGGTAACGAAAGCAGATGTCAGATGAAATTGCATGGTTTGGGGTTTCCTTACAAAGTGTTGTATAGCTCTGTATTAAAGGACCAGCATGAACCTCATTTTTTTTATATGGGAAACTAAATCCATATTTCAACATTTATGTAAGTGGGGTAAATGAGTGATTTTTCAGAGGTGCCAACCACCAATAGCTCCCATAGAAGTCAGTGAGAACTGCTGGTCACTTAGCACTTTAGAAAGTAGGGCCATTTTTTAGATGCCAAAATATAGCTTGAGAAGCCTAACTTTAGGGCCCTATTTTTAGAAAATATTGGCCCACAATTCTAAGAAACCATAGATTAAATAAAAAGGACCAGAGGTTCTAGCCGCTCATTGGCACCCAGAATGGTTAAAACTTCCTTCTCGGTTCCTTAAAGTTGTGAAAAATCTGTGTGACAGATTTCAGAGCCAATAGCTAGGCACCACTCTTGTGAACCTCTTGTACTTGGAACCAGCAGTGTCTGATTGGGAAGAGTATGTAACATCCTAGTTTTTGAATCCTGATGCTCACTGGTGGCTGGTCCACTGAGAGGTCTAGGTACTCCCTACAGATAAGGGAATTCTCCTTAGAAACCTGTGATTTTTGGAGCTGAAGAAACAGGGTTCTTGTCCTTTCTCTGCAGAGGGTTGTGTGTGTGTATGTGTGTGTGTGAGAGAGAGATTAAAGGATGAATGCTGAAACTATGAATGTGCAAGTCTAACCTTGGAATTAGGAAAAATTTGAATCAGTAACGAAGTAAAATTGGAGAATGCTTCGACAGGTACAGACTGTACAAAAAAAAAAAAAAGCCAGTGTAGATTATAAAGGGGAGGTCATGCTTCATAAATCCAATCAGCTTCATTGAGAAGGAAAGATGGTCAATAAGAGCTGATGGGAGTAAATAAGTCTAAATATATTTAGACTTCAAGAGGGCTTAGAGGCACAATACCAGCCAAAAGGCAAGTACATAAAGTTAGTAAGTACAATATGGATGGTGAAATTATACCTTGGATAAAAAAGGAGCTTAGTAGCTAAGGTCAGAATAGTGGTAAATTGCTACCCACTGGGCCGGAAGCAGGACTGCAAAGATCAGTGTCAGGGCCAGCCCTGTTCACACTATATTTCAGAGTGGGAGAAGGGGAACACCTAGCAAGGTATTGACAGTTAATAGTAATCTGGGGCCAGTCAGCACCAAAGAGAGCGAACGCACAAAACTGAAGATCTAAAAGAGCCTGGATGAAATGGGGCTTGACTGGTAGGTAGCTTATTTCACTATCATGAAGAATCATAAAGCAATGTGGACTGTGTATAAAAATGAAGGGGGTAGGTAAAAGAGATTGAGAGTGAACTATTTACTATTAATTTGTTAATAGTGACTTAGCCTTGAGCCAATGCACAGAAAACAAAAGTATTACAATGAAACTTAAAAACTAAATCCAAAATTATACCTTATTAAAATACTTATAAATATAGGTTAAAAGAGACATACACCATTACTCCATGTATGACCACTATGCCACTTGACCCTTCCTTATTTTAGCAGCTGACCATGTAAATAAGGCCACCGCTTAGATCACAGATTCATTGTCCGTTCCTAACCAATATTCTGTTTTCTGAGAGGTTGTGGAAAAAGGCATCCAGGACAAAAATATGGAAAGCCATTTTGACCTCAAAAGGCAATACAGATTACAATGTAATAAATAATGGGGTAGATCTTCCATCTGCTCTAAACCATGTGGACAGAGGTGATTGCATTTCTCAATTCCAGTATATCAACCTTCTTAGTAAGCTGTCTGCATGGATTGGAAATGGAGAGCAGTAAACACCCTCCTTAGCGTGTTAATGCACAAACTGTCTAAATATTTGGCATACCCATGAGTCTTTTTAACAAGAGGAACCCAAGGTGACACATTTGAAATAGAAACAACTGCCATATCCAATTGCTTATTAATACCCTCTGTTCTTGATTATGAATTTTGCATTTTTAAACTTAAATCTAATCATTTCTGATTCTCAGAAACCTAGAGATTGCAAAGAATTTTCAATATGCTGTAACCAAGGAAATTATGTGAGAAAGTCACGCTGAGCTGTTCCTCAAAACATAACCTTGGCAAACGCTGTGGGTGCATACTATGAATACAAAGCCAATAATTAATATTATGATGCTGCACTTTGGACAGAATAGAATTCGTGCCTGTCTGAGCTCTAAGAAGTGCAGATGGGTTATTATTTGGGAGACCAAGAAACTTCCAAAGAATCTTCCAAAGAAATTTGTTTTGAATCACTTCCAGTCCTGAGGGATCATTCCATCCTGAGCCATACAAAATTTGAGCCATACCTTGGCCTCAAACACACTAAGAGCTGGTGCAATGAAATTGCCCCCGTGAATCAAGATAAATTGTAACACAGCTTGCATTGAATCGGAGGCCTTCTCTTTTGTTACCTGAATATGTTTATCCCACAGACCATTTTGTGAGAAACAGATTAACCAGGTACAGGAAAGAACTAACTTGTTCAATATTTTGCACACCGATCCTCCATTTATTTAATATTATGTGGGGAGGGATAGCTCAGTGGTTTGAGCATTGGCCTGCTAAACCCAGGGTTGTGAGTTCAATCCTTGAGGGGGCCACTTGGGGATCTGGGGCAAAATCAGTACTTGGTCCTGCTAGTGAAGGCAGGGGACTGGACTTGATGACCTTTCAGGGTCCCTTCCAGTTCTAGGAGGTGGGATATCTCCATTAATTTCTATTTCTATTTATGTAACCTCCGTCTCTGCCTAAATACAGTTACTTGAGTTTTGGAATAATTTATCAAGAGCCCCTCCCATTGACAGTTTTTAATTTATGCTTCAGTCCCAAAGGTGTTTATGAAAGTAAAACTGTATCATCTGCATATAATAAGACACAGACACCAGATGATACATGATTTTAGGGGGAAAACACTGAACTCCTTTTAATGCTAAAATAACATAATTGATCTAAAAATTAAAAAGAAAACAGGCTAAAAAACAGCTCTGTTAAACCCCTTTTAACTGGAATGGCATCAGTTAATTCCCCATCCAGACTTATTCTAATCTTGGCCACTGCGAAGAGCTCTTAAAAGAAAAAGTAACTGGGGATTTATTCCAGCAATCTCCAATTTGCCCCACAGATGGTCCCTATCAATAGAATCAAAGGCCAATTTTAGACCAACAAAAGATGCATACAGTTTCCCCCTTAGGGGAGATACGTTTGTGCATCAAATAAGAAAGCATAAAGCAGCTATCTGTAGTGGAACGGCCATTTCAGAAACCAGCTTGTCCTTCAGCAAATAAATTACTTTTCCCTGCCCAGTTCTCTAGTCTCTCCAAAAGATATCAAATGTACATTTTTAAAGCAATGTCCAATAAACTAATTGGGCAGTAATTCTGTAGGTCATTCCTATCCCCCTTTTCATAAACTGGAATGATAATACTGGTAATCCATCCTGAGGGGAAAATCCCCGTATTATTAATATTAGAGAAAAGTTTAGCTAAAACAGGTGCCCACCAGTCAATGTTCTCCTTAATTATTTCTGCAGGGGGGAAAAAATCCTCCCCTGGCATTTCACTACAACTCTGTTGATCAATTAAAAATGTAACTTCCTCACTGGATTCTGCAGACCTGTCTGGAAGGGAACAAGGAATGGAAGCTACCAATGCCACAAAGTTAATACATGTCCTATCATTATAAAGTACAGAAAAGTATTTCTCCCAAATATGCTTGGCGATTGAGCATCAATATTACTTCCGAAGAAGTGGGCTGTAGTCCACGAAAGTCTATGCTCTAATAAATTTGTTAGTCTCTAAGGTGCCACAAGTACTCCTGTTCTTTTTGCGGATACAGACTAACACGGCTGCTACTCTGAAACCTAATATTACTTCTGATTTTCTCAGAACCCATTGCTACCAATTTTAAAAATGTACAGAATTTGTCATTTTAGTAGCAGATTTGAATTCCTTCAACTATGCCATTTGATGTTCTGACTTTTTTTCCATTCAATAATTTTTTTTATAAAGCTTTCTAAAATTAACTAGCTTTTGGATGGCGTGGGGCTTATAGATGGAATCCTGTGAGCTATCTTTCCTGACCTCCCTTGCTATAATATATAGCAGTTTTTATGATGAAAACTGTCTGTTTCATACCAAATTATTTTATGTTTCAAGGGAAAG